AGGGCTGGGCGTGGTGGCTCACGCCTGTAATCCCAGCACTTTGGGAGGCCGAGGCGGGTGGATCACGAGGTCAAGAGATCGAGACCATCCTGGTCAACATGGTGAAACCCGTCTCTACTAAAAACACAAAAACATTAGCTGGGCATGGTGGCGCGTGCCTGTAATCCCAGCTACTCAGGAGGCTGAGGCAGGAGAATTGCCTGAACCCAGGAGGCGGAGGTTGCGGTGAGCCGAGATCGCGCCATTGCACTCCAGCCTGGGTAACAAGAGCGAAACTTCGACTCAAAAAAAAAAAAAAAATTAGCCAGGCATGGTGGTGCATGCCTGCAGTCCCAGCTACTTGAGACTGAGGTGAGAAAATCACCTGAGCCCAGAAGATCGAGGATGCAGCGAGCCAAGATCATGCCACTGTACTCTAGCCTGGGCAACCAGAGGCCCTGTTTCCAAAATAAAATAAAACAAATCAAAGAAACACAAAAAAAGACAAATCAGAAAACTTAATCATTACTGCCTAGAAATGGGTCATTTGGGAAGTTGAGAGTGGTGTCTTAACTGTGAATATGTACATTTAATAAATTCTATAAGGAATGTGGAATTTTAATGTTAATTCTTAATACAGTGTTATTTGGATTAACATCAGCAGGCATTTTTAATGGAAACCATTTAATATAAATGTGTACATACAAATATATGCATATATATAAAGAGCTTATTCTTAATATCTATGAGTAAACTGGACTTCAAAATTTAGGAATACTGGAGTTACTCTAAATTCTCTTTCCTACCCCCTTATGCAATTTCTTCTATTTTTTAATACATACCAAGGACAATGATGATCCATCTTAAGAACACATCTAGGAAACAAACAAGCATAAGAAAATCCATGCAGAAAAATTCTTCTAATTCTAACTTCTCATAATTTTCTTTTATTTGACTTAAAATTTTCCCTTTACAACTGTATCTTAAAAGAATCAACCCAGAAACTAGGTTAGTGATAATTTCTGATACTTCCACACAATGTTCATAGGTAAAAAGTCATTAATTTTTATACTGGGAATTCAGCTGAACATATTCAGCTGCCTTAGGCCACATCAAGTGATACTTTAATATTTAGATCTGGGCTGGGCACAGTGGCTCATGCTATAGTCCCAGCACTTTGGGAGGCTGAGGCAGTAGAATCATTTGAAGTCAGGAGTTTGAGACTAGCCTGGCTGACATAGTGAGACCCTGTCCTGAAAAACAAAATTCCTATCAGGTGCATAGTACTTGGTATATGACAGGTCCAGCTAACAAATTAGCTGAAGGAGATAACATGCAATACAGATGGCCCCTGTTATTTTAAACATATGCAAATCATAAAAACAAAAGTTCAGAAGGAAATAGGCCAAAATATTAACACTGATGGGCTTGAAGATGTTTTTTTCCACATGCTCTATAAAATTTTATCCCATGCATAAGCACTACTATATTCTGTAATAAGAATAAAAAAAAAAAAATCAAACCCCAGATTTGCCTCCCTACTAGAATATGTGTTCTTTTTTTTTTTTTGAGATGAAGTCTTGCTCTGTCACCCAGGCTGGAGTGCTGTGGCATGATCTCAGCTCACTGCAACCTCTGTTTCCTGGGTTCAAGCAATTCTTCTGCCTCAGCCTCCCAAGTAGCTGGGACTACAGGTGTGCACCATTACGCTCAACTGGTTTTTTTTTTTTTTGTATTATTAGTGGAGATGGGGTTTCACCATATTGAGCAGGCTGGTCTTGAACTCCAGCCTCTCAAAGTGCTGGGATGACAGGGGTGAGCCACCTCACCTGGCTATGTGTTTTATATTTATATGAAGTTAGACCACAGATTATCTCAAATAACATAATAAAATGAGTAATCTAATACTCGGAAAGTTAAGTAACTTGTGTTACTAAAAGTCAAGGATTAGCTGGATTCCCAAATTAGCGATCTTTCCCTTCAACATACTATCTCCTTACATGTGCTCAAAGACCGAATTTTTTCAAATTTTTCTGGGAAGTCACCGATGGTAATTGAAAACAACAATGAAACTGCCATGGTGGGTTTTTTTTAGGTTTTAATATCAACATCAATAATAAAAATAAAACTGTCATCATGGCCTTTTTAATCCAAAAAATAAAGTTATCTTTCTCAAGGGGTTTATTAATACTTGTTCATCAATATTATATTAAGCACAAGGAAGACAGCATAAAGCTCAAGAAAATTCTATTAACTGGTATAGGAACTGTTAGCAAAGATAACTTGTGAGTATATTCCAGCTTTTGTCAATATTTTTGTCTGCCCTGTATGCACAGCAAATAATGGGAGAGGATGAAGTGTCCTTCTCGAGTGTAAAGCATATAAAATGTTCCTTCCCCTTGTACTCTCCCATGACTGATTTCCATGACTAGATAAATAATTAAGCATACATGTGAGTAACACTTACGTGTCACATGCTGAGCAGTGATGCGCCCGATCAGGTTTAATCAGCTGACATTTTTCACAATATCTGATAGCTGTGTGAAAGAAGTAAAAGGAAGATGTTGAACGATGTACAAACTTAACAAATTTGACATTAAAACTTGCTTTTTCTTTTTTTGAGACAGAGTTTCTCTCATTACCCAGGCTGGAGTGAAATGGCGTGCAATCTTGGTTCACCACAACCACCACTTCCTGGGTTCAAGTGATTCTCTTGCCTCAGCCTCCTGAGTAGCTGGAATTACAGGCATGTGCCACCACACATGGCTAATTTTGTATTTTTAATAGAGATGGGGTTTCTTCATGTTGGTCAGGCTGGTCTCCAACTCCCGACCTCTGGTGATCCATCTGCCTTGGACGCCCAAAGTGCTGGGATTACAGGCGTGAGCCACTGCACCCAGCCAAAACTTGTTTTTTTGTTTTGTTTTTTTAAATAAACAACTTCTGGGTAATCGGTAATTGACAACTAATAATTTTAAAACAATATCAAAATGTATTATACTAGAGAGCTTCTCAAATCAAAATGTCAAGAGATAAAAGAGAATATCAGAATATGATTTGTCCAGCAATTTTTAGATGAAAAGTAGATGCAGGGCAAATAAATGACTTGTACAAGGTCAAACAGCAGGGTGAGGAGCAGAATTAGACCAGAACTCAAGATTTAATAAGTCCCAAGTCCAGTGTTTTTTTTTAATTATGCCACAATGCCTAGGGTATTTCAAAATTTAGACTTTAAGGTATCCTGTGGGATTCTGTTTTTGAAATTCTGAAATAGCTTTATTAAAAAACAAAAAAAACCCACCACTTTTTATCTGCCATCCCTACTCCAGATAAACAGTAAAATTGTGAATTTATTTTTGAATAAAAACTCTGAAATGTTTTCTACTAAATCCTAATATATACTACTGTTGCCCAATACATATGTTCATTTAAAATGTACGGAACACCTGCTAGGTGCCAGATATTGCTTATGCTTTCAAGGACCTTTCATTTCACAGGAAGAGATGGAGAGTAATAAATAAGTCAACAAAATAAACAGTGTATTAGACATTGATAGTATAGATAGCAGGGAAGGAAACATTGGGGAATTGTAATTTTAGAAACATATGAGAAAAATGAAATTGAAAGACGCAAGTTAGTGAGACATGTCTATCAGGGAGAAAGAGAATTTTTTTTTTTTCGAGATGGAGTGTCGCTGTGTCACTCAGGCACAATAAGCAAATGATCACCACATGGTGGTGTTAGAATTCCACGGCTAAAAATAACAGTTGAAAGGACAGTACAGAAAAAATGGGGTCAGGCACCTTTGTGAAGTTAAGACATAGGAGAAAACAAATGTGGAAAGAAGAACAACAATCATGCCAGGATACAAAAGCTGAAGTATAATACTACAGAAAAACACAAGAGGAAAGTGTTTCAAGAAGGCAAAATGACAAAAAGTCTAGGGAGAATGAAAGCTGCTACCTGGAATTCACTAGAAGGAAGTAAGGCCCTAGATACAGACCACCTAAAAGATCTATAATCAAGGGAAAATAAAATACTAGGCCAGGCATGGTGGCTCACGCCTGTAATCCCAGCACTTTGGGAAGCTGAGGAGGGCAGATCACTTGAGGCTAGAAATTTGAGACCAGCCTGGCCAACATGGTGAAACCCATCTCTACTAAAAATACAAAAATTAGCCGGGTGTGGTAGCATGTGTCTGTAATCCCAGCTACTCAGGAGGCTGAGGCAGGAGACTGTTTGAATCCTGGAGGCAGAAGTTGCAGTGAGCTAAGACTGCACCATTGTACTCAAGCCTGCGCGACGACAGAGCAAGACTCCATCTCGATCACGCCTAAAATAACAGCACATAAAAAAAAAAAAAATTACTGGAAAATGTATTATTAAATGCAAATGAGAGGGGAGACTCTCTCGCCTCCTTCAATTTCACCTCCTCCCTCCCCTCTTTTCCAGATGGGAAGGGGGGCAAAGAAGGAAAAAATAAAATAAAATACCAAAGAGCTGGGAAAATAACTAAAAATAGTCCCCAGCTCTCTGCTATCTGTTAACCTTGAAAAAGCTGCAAATAAATGCTATCTCTGCCAGCTAGAGCCCATCAGTGGTTTACGCCCTCCACGTCTCCACAAACCAGGCTCCCTCCTGGAAACCCTTCTGCCAATAAACAGCTTGTTACTTTTGTCTTGTCTCTGTAAGCCCCACTCCCTTGCTGGTTCCCACTTGTGCTGCATATGAATTAGCAAATCAATGAAGCCAAAAGATTTTAAGGTCAGATGTCCAGCAAATGGACAATAACATAGTTCCACCTCAGTTTCCCCTTTAGCATTGTAAGCCTATAAAAGGGGGAAAAAGGTGCAACTTGGAGAGCTCAGTAAATAAGGTGGTAGCCTCCTGCAGCTCCTGGCTGAATAAAAAAAAACACTTCCTTCCTCAGTTCAGTGTTTGAGGTTTGTTCCCCGCCACTCCTGCTACACAAAGAGCTATGCTAAGTACTTTACATATATTGTCTCATTTAATATTTCCACTAACCCAGTCATGTAAATATTATTATCCTTATCTTAAAATGAGGAAGTTAGTGCTTAGAAAGTTTACGTGACTTGCACTGCATTAGTAAGGTTTGAAAAGCTGGGGTTTGATCTGTAATCCATGTTTTCATTCTATACTGTATCAGTTATGCAAAAAGGGCGGTCAGTCAAATATCCCCTCCTAAAATCTTTTAGACACTTTAAATTTTCTTGAGTCACAATTTGTACATAGTTACACAAAGGTAATTTTGTGTTGGAGTTTAGAAGCTTAGTGGGTTGAAGAGGCAGACTACCTGGACTTAAACACCTGTTGTTTTTTTATACTAGCTATATGACTTTGAACAAGTTACTTAACCTCACTGTGCCTTAGTTTCCTCATCTGTAAAATGGAAACTATAGTGTACACTTCATAAGGTTGTTGTGAAGTCCAAATGAGTTCACGCATTTAAACAGAATAACTGTCAAGCTGCAATCATTACCTGGTATTTAAATCAATTAATGAGGTATATAATATATAATTTAAAACAATTGCCTAAAAACCAAAAAATTAAAAATAAATAAACAAAATAAAGCCATTTCCTGTATTTAAATGACTAGTCACTCATATTCTCCTCGATATCATAAGATTACAAGCTAGGAACAGGAAGCTGTTGTTATGGTCCTGGATCTCAATGGAGGCGTTAGTACAGAGGAAACACCAAGGGCTTTAGAACTAGACAAACCTGAGCTCACGGCCTGACTCTCAGAATATTAGCCTTCTACATCTGAACAAGTTTCTTCCTATGTATGTCTTTTACTGTTCCCTATTTTTTAGCACATTCTTGAATTTTTTTTTTACTACTCAGTGATGACACACAATACTCAAATTCAGACTTCCAAATGACAGTTTACTAAGAATAATAATTAAAAATTTTAGCCATGAAAGTTGAGTTGGGGGAGAAAAACAAGTACAGAAGAGATTCCTATTAAAGTGAGCCCCTTAAAAATTTATATTGATTTATTTATATATTTATCTATTTCTGCATCTGAAATACCACAGTAAACAGGAAAGTCTTGTTGCTAGTTATTATTTATGGCAATAACAGTATCCATTTAATAGTCAAACCATGCAAATATATCCAGGCAGAAATAAACATATTTTTAAAAATCATTTGAAAATGGAAGCTTAAGATTTCTTATTCTTACTTTTTGAAGCTGATGTGGTATAGATAGGTAAAGCTCTTGCTGCTCTTCTCAAAATGTCTTGTTGTCTTTCTTGGCTGAATTCTTTTTCATAACGTTCCTTTTCAGAATTGGATAAATAGAACTATAAAAGGAAAGAGAACCATTAAACTTTTTAACTTCCATGATGTTCATTATCATGCTCAGAAAAAGTTTTATCTAGAACAGAAAAAGAAAACCAAAAAATATTTTACAAAGGCAAAACTTGTCTTCAAACTTCTTAACTAGCAAGTAGATAAATCAAGTATATTTTAACAAAACTACATACCTTTGGCATATTAAAAAATATTTGGGCCGGGTGTGGTGGCTCATGCCTGTAATCCCAGCACTTTGGGAGGCTGAGGTGAGCAGATCACATGAGGTAGGGAGTTCGAGACCAGCCTGACCAACATGAAGAAACCCCATCTCTATAAAAATACAAAAACATTAGCCAGGCATGGTGGCGCATACCTGTAGTCCCAACTACTCAGGAGGCTGAGGCAGAAGAATCACTTGAACCCAGGAGGTGGAGGTTGCAGTGACCTGAGATTGCACCATTGTACTCCAGCCTGGGCAACAAGAGCAAAACTCCGTCTCAGGAAAAAAAAAAAAAAAATCTGCCCTCCTCACCAGATGGCAAAGAACATGAATTAAATATTTTTGCATCTTTGTCTTTCACAAATAAAATTACATTTCTACACAAGAAAGGCTTAATATGTAGTCTCCATTAGTAAAAATTTTAGTTGTTTAAAAGTTGCTGTCAAGAGATTTTTAATTTTTGGAAGAATGTCCAAAGTTTTACTTGTTTTGGGTGACAGGCTAAATCACAGGCATGGATCCTACCAATTTTTAGCCAAATGTCTCAAGAAACTCAATGAGTCTTTTTTTTAAAAAACATTTTTAGCTTTTAAAAAGGTAATCCATAGGACTACTTTCACCAGAATTATCAAGGATTGTCAAGGTAAGCATAGCCGCCTTTTTTCCAGGAGAGATTCCTTTATAGTGCCATTTCTTGTTTTCATTTCTAAGTGTTTGTTCCCATGTGCGGCCAGCCTCTGGTTCATTTCTCTTAATAGCATTTTTCCTTCAGAGTACTTGTTTAATTGTTCTTTTCATATGTCATCCCAACATCTCAAGGATCCTAAGTTTTAGACCTCAATTTCATGTTACCAGGAACTGCAAATTTCTATCAGTCTTTATTTCACAGACTTTTTTTTTAAACTAAGAACTGCTTGAGACTTGCTCTTCATTGTGTTTTACATTTTAATAACACTATTCCTCAATTTTTATTTACTTGTTGCGTTTTTTTTTATTTTTATTTACTTTTTAAGCGTTCTGCTTAAAAAGCCCTAAGGAATCATGACTTTTCATGTTTAAGGAGTGTTTGGTCTAGTTGCTAGCTCAAATACCAAAATGTCTCTTGCTGCCCCATCATTGCTAATAGTATTAGCTTAATAACGTGGTATTCTGCTATAAACAAGGCAACAACTTGGCATAGTAGAGAGAGCTCTGAGTTGAAGAAACTGTGATTCTAAGAGACTTAGGCAATTTTCTAAGACTGCAGAACTACTGGCAGAGCCAACAGTAAAATACAGGTGTCTTCCGTGTTCTACTCTGGTGCATTTTCAGAGGAAAATTTACATTACAATTTAAAATAAATGCTTTTGCTTTTTACAGATTATTACTCTAACCTAACTAAAACATCAAACTTTAGGAAATAGAAGAGTCTGTTTAGATTACCTAGCTCGGCTTCTACAATCATATTGTGATGGCACAAGAAACCCCCAAATTACTTATGGGGGACAAGAAGCAACATGGACAGGTGAACAGGACAGTAAGAAGTCAGGTAAGACTCACATAATCTTAACGATGAAAAAGTCTTAAAGACAATGAAGGTCCCTTATCTAACCTTCCATCAAAAGCAGGGACCTTCAGACATTTCTGACAGATTGGGCTCCTCTTGAATACTTTCAGAGAAATATTTTTCAATTTTGCAAGATGGCATGTTCTCTTTTAAGAGAATTTTAATTCGTTAGGAAGTTCTTTCCTGACATTATGTGTCTCTTGCATATTCATAGTAGAGTATAAAATCACATGGTAACATGTTAAATATGTTTGAATAGAAGATGTTCTGACCAAATTTTGCAGATTCCTTATAAAATTTCAACATATTGGCTGGGCAAGGTGGCTCATGCCTGTAATCCCAGTACTTTGGGAGGCCGAGGCAGGTAGATCACAAGGTCAGGAGTTCAAGACCAGCCTGACCAGCATGGTGAAACCCTGTCTCTACTACAAATACAAAAATTAGCTGGGCGTGGTGGTGCGTGCCTGTAATCCCAGCTACTCAGGAGGATGAGGCAAGAGAATCACTTGAACTTGGGAGGCAGAGTTGAGATTGCACCACTGCACCCCAGCCTGGGCGACAGAGCAAGACTCCATCTCAAAAAAAAAAAAAAAAGTTCAACATATTTCCCTGGGCTGTCCTATTCCTAAGTCTGCAGTAGTATCCCAGGCCTTAGGCCTCTCCACTGCTACTCAACATCATTACTTTTCCTTACAAATGAAGGTTATACAATTATGAAAAGCTTAAACCAAATGAAAATTTCAAGAGACATCGGAATTTTACATGAGGAATGGAACAAAACAAAAATTCAAATAGATTGTAAAATTTGAATTAGTACTAGAAGTTTGTCTTTCCATTCAAAACTAGTGAACAGAATTAAAAGTATGAAATTCTATTATTATCTTAAATTCAGTGTTCAGACAGTTCTACTTAAATATATATTAAATGCCAATTTAGAGTGAGGTGCTGTCCCGGATTTCAGAGATCCAAAGATGAATTAAAAACAATCCTTGCCTTGAAAAAGTATATTTCTATAGTCTAGTAAGAAAGCCATATAAATAAAGAATTACGAAACATAAATCAGCATAAAGTACAACATTAATAATATATTACAAGGTATGATAAAAGCTCCCTTGGGATGTAGTGAGAGATAGCAAAGGAAGTTTTTTGAAGGCAGTGTACCTAAGTTTTGAAAGATAAATGGGAATCTTCCAGAAAGATAAAGAAAAGAAAATCTTGGCAAAAGGAGCAGCATACAGAAAGCACAAGGATGTGAAAATTATTCAGTATATTCAGCTCAATACACTGCCTGAGTATAGAGTTCCATGAAGAAACAGTGAAGATTAAGTTAGCAAGATTTTAGTTCATGAAGGGACTTGGTGTACCATGCAAACGAACATGAGCTTTATCTTATAGCTAATTGGCAAACTCCGTAGGATTGTAGTCAGAGAAGTGATGAGACTGTATTTTCTTTTAGAAAAGATGACACTTGGTGATGGGAGATGCCTATCAGCTATTCACATGCTGCATCCTCCTCACCCTTCCTTCATTCAAGTCTTTATCAATCTGCCTGTTATATTCAAGGTCTGATTCTAGGTAATGGGGATACAGAAATAAACAACAAAGAGTTTTCCTTCAAAAAGCTTAGTGGAAGAGATACTTTGAAGATCTCAGCTTAAATGCCACTTCCTTGGAGATTTATTTGACTACACTATCTCAAGTAGCTTTTTCTCCCCTCAAGTAGCTTTTATTTTGTTATACTCTATCACGTTATCCTGTTCTTTTTCTAAATTTATCACAGTTTACAATTATTTTGTTTACTGTCTGTCTTTACCTTTTAGCCTAGCACAATCTGACATCCAGTGGGTTGCCAAGAAGTACTTGATTGAAACAATGAACAAAAGACACCCCACTTGTATTTACAACTTAACTTCCTTAAAGACTTATAGTTTTTGCTTTTTGTTATTATTATTAAGACAGAGTTTCCCTCTTGTTGCCCAGTCTGGAATGCAACGGTGTGATCTTGGCTCACGGTATCCTCTGCCTCTCAGGTTCAAGCAATTCTCCCGCCTCAGCCTCCCAAGCAGTTGGGATTACAGGCGCACGCCACCACACCTGGCTAACTTTGTATTTTCAGTAGAGATGGGGTTTCACCATGTTGGTCAGGCTGGCCTTGAACTCCTGACCTCAGGTGATCCACCCACCTTAGCCTCCCAAAGTGTTGGGATTACAGATGTGAGCTACCATGCCCAGCCCATTTTTGCTTTTTAGACCCAATCAATTCCCATAGACCTAGCTCCCCAAGCATTGCTCTAACCTCTGAGCTGACAGAATCCTCCTAATAAAAGCTGTGAGCTTGGTATTACATCAGCATCAACCTCTGAGCTGACAGATCCTCCTAATAAAGCTGCAAGCTTGGTATTACATTAACACCAACCTCACTGCTTTATAATTGCTTATACAGGGCTACCTCAGTCAGCACACTGTAAGCTCAGTGACAAAGAGAATCTTAAATTCCTGTTCTTGGTTGTTCCTAGAGCTTAGCTTAGCTGGCCCATGATGATTTAATAATTAATTCATTTAACAGTTACTGAAAATCTACTATGTGCCGGATAGTGTGGAAGGGATATAGTGAAAAATGCAACGGAAATATCTCTGCCCTCACAAAATTTACAATTTAATAATGTGATGCATATTAGTAAACAGGCAATTACAATACCAGATGATAAATTCTATGACAGGGCAAATGGAGCATGCCATAGCAACGTCACTGGATACAGGCTTGGGCGTCAGATTAACTTATAGGAGTAAGGGAGAATGAAAGGGAAGTGGATGTAAAGGCTTAAGCTCTGGGCTGAATGCTAATGGATGCAATATGCTAGAGCCGCCACCAAAAATATATATATATAACATTTTGATGGTACTTATTATGTGCTAAGTATTCTGAGCCCTTTATATACACTATTAATTCCATATATTAATTATACACTATTAATCACACAGATTATTAATTTGCTCAATTCTTATAGTTATCCTATGAGGTGAGTACTAATATCACCCTCACCTTACAGAGGAGGGATCAACTAAGGAAAGTTTCCAAAGTAACACAGCTAACACAGCTAGTAGGCTGCAGAGGTACAAGCTGAATCTTGGCAGTTTTAGTCCAGACTCTGTGTGGTATTGCTGTTGTTGTTTAGTCCAGAATCTCTGGTACTGTTGTTGTTTGAGACAGGGTCTCACTCTGCTGCCCAGGCTGGAACGCAATGGTGTGATCATGGCTCATTGGAGGCTTAAGCTTCCTGGGCTCAGTGATCTTCCTACCTCAGCCTCTGGAGTAGCTGGAACTACAAGTGCATGCCACCACACCCAGCTAATTTTTGTATTCTTTGTAGAGATGGGGTTTTCTACATTGCCAAGGCTGATGTCAAAGTTGGGGGCTAAAGCGATCTGCCTGCCTCAGCCTTCCAAGATGCTGGATTATAGGCATGAGCCACCACGCCTGGCCTGCATTCTTAGCCTCCACATTATATTGCTTCTGAAAAGTACTACTGATTATTTTTCTTATTGTATTTATTTCCTGTAATGAGAATTATTTACTTTTTACACGTTATGTTTTCAATAGTCACTACTAGTAATTGATAAAATAAAATTAAGTCCTTTTCAATTTCAAGATTAAGCAATGGATGACAGCTTGTAATATAACTTTAAGGGTTGACTAATTAGTACCAAATGCCTGATGAATATATTTGAAGCAATACTTAAGTATGATTTATAGTTTACTTTACCTTTTAAAACAAAAGCATCTAGTAGAAAAAGCAGGCAAAAGACTGTACGGTTACCTGCTAATGTTAAATGTATGTACGATAGTTCTACTCCTAGGCATCTACCCAAAAGACTACATATATAATTATCCGAGAGACATGCACTGCGATGTTTACAGCAGCCCTGTTTGTAACAGCTCTAAGCTGGAGGCTACCCACATGCTCATCAACAGTAGACCCAATAAATAAATAGTGTTACATACTACAACTGAATACTAACAATAATGAGAATGAATGATCTGCAACTACATGTAACACAAATGAATCTTACAAACAGAATGTTAATGAAAAAAGCCACACATACACATACACACACACATATGATTACACACATACACACACTAGTATAAAACTACAAAACTCCATTTATATTTAGTACAAAAAAACAGGCAAAGCTAATCTATGCTGTTAGAAAGCAAGAGAGTGGCTTCTTATGAAGTGGATGACTGAAAGGAAGCATCAGGGGGTTGATGGGGTTCTGGTAATGTTCTGTTCTTGACTTGGGTGGTGGTTACACAGGTGTGTACACATATGCATACTTTCTGCTCTTCACTGCAAAGTTAAATAGGAGTTGATACTATTTTTAAATGTATGGTCTACGATTTTTATAAATTTAACACAAAGAGAAATAATTACATCATCACGATCATCTAATATTTGAGTCCTAACAATGTGGCAGGTATACTACTATTTTAAAAGCTTAGGCCAGGCGCGGAGGCTCACGCCTGTAATCCCAACACTTTGGAGGCTAAGGAGGGTGGATCACCTGAGGCCAGGAGTTCAAGACCAGCCTGACCAACATGGGAAAATCCTGTCTCTACTAAAACTACAAAAATTAGCCAGGCCTGGTGGTATGCACCTGTAATCCTAGCTGCTTAAGAGGCTGAGGCAGTAGAATCGCTTGAACCTGGGAGGTGGAGGTTGCAGTGAGCCAAGATCGTGCCATTGCACTCCAGCCTGGGTGACAAGAGTGAATTTCCATCAAATAAATAAATAAATAAAAGCTTTAACTGAAAAAATCTCACAATCTTTACAAACATCCTACAGAGACAGGCACAATTGTTAGCTCCACTTTTTGAAAAGAAGTGGACCCAGTAAAGAAGCTTGGAGAGATTAAATTGTTAGAGCAAAAAATCAAACTGAAACAATTCTAACTCTAAAGGATATATTCTTAACCATCTTGCTTTATGAAATTTTCGGTGAAGGAAGAATTCAGTCAGCTATGGCAAGGTAAGAGAGACATACTGATCATAAAACTTACTCCACATAAATGTTTACCTATATTATTTTGCAAATGGAACCTCCAATTAGAAGAAACACTAGTCATATTAAAGTGTAGCAACAATAGCTTAGACAATTTGTTTCCATCACAAAACTTTTTTAATTGCAGCATATCTGTTCATGCCTAAAAATATAAATGTTGAGAGTTTCTAAAAACAAACTCTACTTTCCTAACTCAATTCTGTCCCTTAATACTTTTTATTCCAGTAATATAAAGTATGTCTTTAAGAAAACATAGAATGGCAGAAAAGTAATAAGGTTTTCTATACCACTCAACTTTCTCTACACTGTGCTAGTGGACTGTATCTGAGAACTGGCTGATGACTCACATTCACAGTACAGAGTAACCAAGTAGTTTCATGAATGGAAACAGAACACATGCATTATGTAAAGTTTTAACAAAGGTAACACAAGGGAAAAAAATTCCATAATCAGTTAAAACATTTGGTAATTTACCAACATCAAATTTACCTCTTTGGAGGGGGAAGCGGGAGATGTGAAAATTGTCATCCAATAGGACCATACAAACATAACAAAGAACAGATGGAAAGCCACAAGGTAAACAACGGTCTTTCCTGGTAAATAAAAACAAATAACAGTTCGTTGAATCCAAGTGAACACAGGAAAAAGCATTACATTAAAACACAATAATTGGGCCAGGAGGCCGAATCCAATAAACGATTAAATTAAAATGTATTGAAACATCAAATATATTAACTTTACCTGCAAGAGGAAACATCACTAGATATGAAGAAATATTCTGTTCCTATATTTAAGGATTATCAGCCTGGTTTATAAGATTAGATGAGATTTAAGATGAGATTTGGTTGTATTGAATTGCTGAAGTTAAATTTAAGCTGGAACACTTTCTTCACTCACTGTATTTCAAGTTCTCCAAAAGGTCATTTTAAATGACTTAAAATTACTGAAAACAGTATTTATTACTATGAACATTAAATCCAAGGAACTACCAACTGAAAGTAAATAAGTTACAATCACCATAAATAATGAATACATCTGAATAACCCATTCCCTGTATTGTTTAGAAAAAGTACCCTAAATTTAATTCCCCTGGTCAATACAGGCTAACAAGAAAGAATTTTGGCCATTTTGAATATCTAACACAACAGTTTCCTAAGTAGATTAATGTAACATTTCAACATTTCTATCTCCAAATATTAAGTCACTGATAAAATTTTAAGCTTTTTGTTGTATTCTATAGATTTTCTATTTGAAAGAAGCGGTAGTTTCTTTAAGAAGCAAGATTTCTTTAAAAAGCAAGAACTATCTACTGGATGCTTAAATTCTTTTTCAGTTTGTAATGCAACACCATAAACCCATTGAAGATAACAAACACGGACAAGTCTGAAATTGTACTCATTTTTAAAGTTCAGATAAAATGCTACTACTTCCACAAAGGTCTTTTCTGTTACTTTCAGAATTCATTACTCCTTCATACTGTACACTCTCCAAATAATTTGGTTACATTTCAATTAAAGCACTTATTTCAGTAAAGTTAGTTGCTTAATACTGATGAGCTAACACATGCAAAATACTTAGAAGAATGCCTGGCACACAATAAATCCTTAATAAATACCGATTATTATTACTAGTCTTATCCAGGCATTTTAATTATTTTCTCCAAAATTTGGTCCTTTTTGTGCAACCCCTGTATCAGTGGTTTTCAAGTTTAAGAAGTGACAATGTGTCTGTGACAACGTTCACTGGTCTGCACTGAAATAAAAGAAAGGCCAAGAACAATGTAATGAAGCTTTTGTAAAAGCTAACATGTATTTGGTTTGAAGTACTGTCCTTCCTTTGCCTGAGGTTTATTTTCCCTTATGTTTTTGGTTTTAAAAATGCTTGTTCTTTTCAATAAAATAATAGTAATAGTTGACAAACCCTGTTGCAACCCATCCTTTTCTTTTGAAATTGTATTGGTTCATGCCCGATCTCAGAGAACAGAAACCCCTGTCACACAGTGGACCAATGCAGAAACCCAGGCCTGAAATGACTCCTTATATTTCACAGCTAATCAGTACAAATAGTACTAATTCTAGCTCCTAAAATTTCTCTCCAAGTGAACTCTTTATCATTATTTTCACTGCCCATGCATAGTTCATAAATTGTTGCCTATATCCTTTGGATTGCTGCAAAAGCCAATTGGTCTCCTCGCTTCCAATCCATCTCAATGGTTGGTGTAAAACATGTTGCTCATAGTTTCTTTTCCCTCTTGGCTGTGAAATTCCTAAGAAATAATTACAACCTCATGACCAATGCATCTTAGTAAAACTGTGGGACTACCCAGTCACCATATTTACATGGTGATTTTTATATTTATAGGTACTCAAATCACCACTTCTATGTACTGAAAGTCAACTAGAAGGCATATAATGTATGCCTTATTTCTAACCCTCACAGTAAGTCTTCTAAGGTATCATTCCAGTTTACAGATGTAAACAATGAGGCTCAGAGAATTTAATACTTTGCCCAATGTCACTTAGTTACTAAATGATGAAGCCAGAATTCAAACCTGTATCTGTTTGACAAAAATCTATGGTTCTTTTCACTATGTCCTACCTAAAATTATAGTTTCCTCAATGTTTTAAACCATCATCTTAAACCATCTAAGCCATTATCTGATGCCAAGATAAAATCCTAACCATAACTTCCATCTATTTTCAAATGTGCTCTTTGTTTCCATTAACATTGTCATACACATTAAAAACCGGTTTCTCAAAATCTGCTTTCTCTATCCTGTCAGTTCTCTCCAGGTTGAACCCCATGGTGTACCCAAAGGACTCAATATCATTGCTTCGGCTGGGTGCGGTGGTTCATGCCTGTAATCTGAGCACTTTGGGAGGCTGAGGTGGGCGGATCACTTGAGGTCAGGAGTTCAAGACCAACCTGGCCAACATGGTAAAACTTCACCTCTACTAATACAAAAAATTAGCTAGGCATGGTAGTGCCCACTCGTAATCTCAGCTGCTTGGTCGGCTGAGGTGGGAGGATCACCTAAACCTAGGAAGCAGATGTTGCAGTTAGCTGAGATCACGCTACCGCACTCCAGCTGGGGAGACCGAGTGAGACTCCATCTCACAGAAACAGAAAAATAATTGCTTCATTTGTTTTTCCTTTGGAAAAGTGTGCAATAACTTAGTCTCCTACTGTTACGATAACACTGAGACCATTTCTCAATCCTGCAATATCTTCATTTTGTTTACTTCCTTTATAAGTATTTTTGCATAGACCCCATATTAAATCAAACTTATTATTCCTCATCTATACACTATTGTATAACTTTGAGGTAGATGGTAACCTTGAGAAACTTTAAATGTAAAAATAAAATGCTCTTCATAGTTTTAAAAACATTTAATATATTTTTAGGATATTAATTTTCTTCATGAGAACAAAACAAAATGGTTTTGCTGAAAAATACATTCTCAGTTAAAAAACAGATAAAATAAAGCTCTTAACACAGACCTAGAATATAGTAAGTACGTAAAAGATGGTGGTGTTATTAAATTATAATGAGCAAAGAATAACAGAAAACAATGCTTTTCACTAAATTCAAATCAATGTGATTATTAATAGGCAAACTTCTGGTTAAATATACATGCTATTAAACCACTGGTTACAAGTAATATAGAAAGTAAAATCTTAGTTAACTGAGAAAATTAAATCAAAGCTGAAAAAAAAACCCTGAAACCTATAATACCAAACTCGGTGTTTAAAAGTTCAAAATCATCTATAACTGAATTTAAAAACAAACAAACAACAAAAAACTGTATTGAAAGACTCTTTGAGAAACACAGTAAAAATAGCCCCAAGAGATAATGATATAAGTTAAAAGTTCTTTTATAAGAGCTTCTGAAATTTTCTTTCTGTATCTGTGCTTCCAACATACAGGGAACATTTTTGATTTATAGAAAGAAAATAAGCTGATCAAGATTGAGTCTGTTTATTCTGTTACTGAGAAATTAAATGTAAAGGTAATTTAAGATTTACATACTTAATGCCTAATCTCCAGTAACAATAATTACTATTTATTAATAATTTCTGTTCAAGTATTTTAGAAATCCTCTGGAGTTTTGTATGTCCAATTAAATTTTGTTTAAAACAGATTTATGAAATTTGCTTTCGTCTCAGTGAAATTTTGAGAAATGATTTTTCCCTCTAGGCACTATCTTTTTGACTTAGTTGTTATACAATTTACAAATTTACAGTCTGGTTATTTTACTAACTATCTGTGCATTGTAAAGTGCAATTTTAACAAATGCATAAATTAGAACCATCTATAAAATTCTGACATCATGAAAGCTGAATTGTCTCCTCAATGTAGCCAGAAGTCATATTAAAAATCTAAAAAAGTTTTGAAGAACATACGAGGCAGAAATATTTATATAAATATACACAAAGAAATTTGGGTATTAGATGCTGTACAAAATAATGGGTACTTAAATTTACACAAAAAACACCAAATGAGAATATATGGAATGTCTTGTTCTGGAAACAACCTCATTACTCCTTTTAATTACTAAAATTTGAAGATAGAGATTTTATTTTTAAAAAACAAAAACACACGTCTTCATCACTAAATGAAATGTTCCAATTAAAATATCATTAATCGTTTAACTTAAATTGAAACGAAAAGTGCCTTACCATTTTCTTCATTTCCAAAGATAGTAACTAGAACAGAAGAAAAAATAGTGAATAAATATAACATTTATTTAAAATTTTGTATGTAAGTTTTATTTCAGGTTGAATATTCATCTTAATATTATTTTCAGGAAAATAAAATTTAGTTATAAATCGTACACACTAATGCAAAGTCAAAATTGCACTAAAAAACTCCAAAAACATTAAAATACTAAAATTAAAATTCTTTATCATTAACATTATAGTCACACTAAATGTTTTCAGAACTTTAAGTATATCAACATGGTTATAGCTGCAATGTTTTCTTTAGCTCTTTCCTTAATGACAACCGCAGAATGAACAGAACTATACTCTATGGCCCTCATAACTTATTATTCAGTCTGTGATGTACCCCTATCAACCTCTGTGAAATCTATACTCAAGACAAATGCATTTTTCTAAATAAACAAGTAGAGGAACTTACCCTGTTAATTGTTAGAGTGCTTTTTCTCTGAATAATTAGATACTGAAGAAGTCAAACCAAGCACAGAAAACGTAATTCAGTGTCTACCTCTCTTACATCTTCTTCCATCTTGTTTGTATTAATACTGTGATGCACACAGCCAACAACCACTTCAGTCTACCAAGCCTGCAACCCTGGGAACTGCTATTTACTCTTTCTTTCTTTCTTTTTTTTTTTTTTTTTTTGAGACGGAGTTTCGCTCTTGTTACCCAGGCTGGAGGGCAATGGCGTGATCTCGGCTCACCGCAACCTCTGCCTCCTGGGTTCAAGCAATTCTCCTGCCTCAGCCTCCCGAGTAGCGGGGACTACAGGTGTGCACCACCATGCCCAGCTAATTTTTGTATTTTTAGTAGAGACGGGGTTTCACCTTGTTGACCAGGATGGTCTCGATCTCTTGAACTCGTGATCCACCCGCCTTGGCCTCCCAAAGTGCTGGGATTATAGGCGTGAGCTACCACGCCCGGCCTACTCTTTCTTTCTGGATAGTCCAATGGCCTGTTGGTTTTGGACTAGCTTTTGGTCTAGGTCCTGTTGGTTTTACTAAGTCTCTTTATAATGTCACCTCTTTTTCAATCCCTCCGCACTGCCTTACTCAAATGCAACAGATTAAGGCATCTTCCTAATACCAGTTTAACACACCCCCACCACCAGCAAATCTGATGAATACCCTTCAGTACCTGTGAGTCACTTTCAGAATGAAGTCCAAAAGCTTCAGGGTAGCAAACAATATAAGCCCTCTGTCATCTACAATCTATCTACCTTTCTAGTTTCTTCCTTTTTTTTTTTGAGACAGGGTCTTGCTCTGTCACCCAGCCTGAGTGCAGTGGCTCAATATTGGCTCACTACAACCTCCACCTCCCAGGTTCAAGTGATTCTTCTGCCTCAGCCTCCCAAGTAGCTGGGATTACAGGTGTGAGCCACCATGCCCGGCTAATTTTTGTATTTTTAGTAGACATGGGTTTTTACCATGTTGGCCAGGCTGGTCTCCAACTCCTGACTTCAAGTGAATCCGCTCGCCTCAGCCTCCCAAAGTGCTGGGATTACAGGTGTGAGCCACCGCACCGGGCCCTCTGTAGTTTCTTCTGTCATTTGCCTGTATTTCTGGTCTAATTATTGTAAACAAATTGCAGTTTCCCAAATGCATCAAGCTGTTTCATATTTGCCATGTCCCTTCTCTATGCATCCTTCAAGGCCCAGTTTGAATACTAGCTTCTTTGTAAAGCCTTCCTGAGTCCATTTTTAGGCAGAGTAGAGCATTCCTTTATACACTACTTCTCACTCTTCCATCTATACCACTGCCATCTCATATTTCTTTTTTTTTTTTCAATTACTTGTCAATATGTCTGTCTCACACCTTACTGAACTAAGTGCTCCTTGAAGTGTGGAATCATGTCTTAGAATAGTAACAACCCTGCAAGTTATCCTTAGATCCATTTTATAGATAAGTAAACTAAGGCTCAAAATAATTAAATGACCTTCCTAAGCTCACAGAGCTAATATATGTAGTATAAATGGTATCTAACTAAAAGTCTGTTCAGACTACTGGTAAAGACCAAAGCTTGATGACATACTGCGTTATCACCCTTTTCCAAGTAGAGAATCCCAATTTAAAATCACATCTAGCTAACAGTTTCCAGTGGTTGTCTCTTCCAGCTTCTCACTAAGATATTCATGCTATTACAAGGAACAATAATTTGTTCCACATAAAAACAAAGCTAGGCCTGGTATGGTGGCTCACGCCTGTAATATCAGCACTTTGGGAGGCTGAGATGGGCAGATCACTTGAGGGCAGAAGTTTGAGACCAGCCTGGCCAACATGGTGAAATGGTGTCGCTACTAAAAATACAAAAATTAGCCAGGTGTGATGGCAAGCATCTGTAGTCCCAGCTACCTGAAAGGCTGAGGCAGGAGAATCATCTGAACCCAGGAAGCAGAGGTTCCAGTGAGCCAAGATTGCACCACTGCACTCCAGCCTGGACAACAGAGCTAGACTCTGTCTCAAAAAAACAAAACAAAAACAAAAACAAAACACCCAAAAGATCCACCAAAGCAACAATGGCTAGAATCGCTTCTTCACAGAGGACTTTCCTGACCACAGAATGAATGGGTTAAATAAATCTTGGTATATATTCCCACAACACTTTATACTTTCCTTTTCATAACACCCCTAACACTTGTAATTACTGCTTTGCAGTTCATAGTTCCTTCTAGGATTTTTTCCTGGAGGTAGGGGACACGACTTTTTCACCAGCATCCAGAACAGTATATGGCATGGAACAAGCTCTCAGTATTTGCTAATGGCACCTCTAACTTGGCACCTTTAACTACAGAGATAAAGACATGGCTGGGAACAGCAATCTGCAGAACATCTCACAGGGAGACAAGCCTATTCCATTTTATAGAGATCTCAAAATACATTTTTAAAAAATTATTTTGATGACAAAACCAAGTTTACAAAAACTATTAGGCATACTAAATTTTTATACATGACTTTTAAAACGTAAGAAATGTCATATTTCATTCTTGTCAATGACACTGTAACACTGTATAATCTCATTTAGAGACAACATTAATTTATGGTTCTTTGTGAACATGAGGGCTGGCCATGTCCATTCTTCACTTCGTTACCCCTTTTTCTTGCCCGTCTCCCACTTACTGAGACTGAAAATGTCAGATACTCACTTTACCAGTATACTTGTATCTACTATGGCTATGGAATCCAGTTACTGCAAATGGGTACATAGTGAGGGAAGAAAAAGCTGTCACTAGGAAAAAAAATTTTTGACTTTCTTATCAAGTGAGAAGCATGTGAGAAATAAGCTCTATTATTTCCTTTATTCTGTCTTTGCTTTGGATCCTTGTAATGTGAATACAGATGTGCAGTCTGAATGTATAACTGTCAACTTTCAACCTTGACAGGACAGTTATATGCTGAGTCTAGAATTCTGAGTTGACAGTTCTTTCCGTTCAGCACTTTAAAAATACGCTACTTCCTTCTAAATTCCATGGTTTCTGATGACAAATCTGCTGTCTTTCCCCAATAGGTAAGGTGTCCTCACTGTTGTCAAGATTTTGTATTTAGGCCGGGCGCAGTGGCTCAAGCCTGTAATCCCAGCACTTTGGGAGGCCGAGGCGGGTGGATCACGAGGTCAAGAGATCGAGACCATCCTGGTCAACGTGGTGAAACCCCGTCTCTACTAAAAATACAAAAAATTAGCTGGGCATGGTGGCGCGTGCCTGTAATCCCAGCTACTCAGGAGGCTGAGGCAGGAGAATTGCCTGAACCCAGGAGGCGGAGGTTGCGGTGAGCCGAGATCGTGCCATTGCACTCCAGCCTGGGTAACAAGAGTGAAACTCCGTCCCAAAAAAAAAAAAAAAAAAAAAAAAAAAAAAAAAAAAAAAAATTTTTTATGTTTTTGTATTTAGTTGTCAGAAATTTATAATGTAGGTTGGAATGGATTTCTTTGGGTTTTCCTGTTTAGAATGTGCTGAACTTCTTGGGTTCTTCTTGAATATGTCCTTTGCCAAGTTGGGGGATTTTAAGCTATCATTTCTTTGAATACCTTTTCAACCATATCATCTTTCTTCTCCCCTGGAACTCTGATGGTACAAATATTAAAACTTCTAAAAACAGTCCCACAAGTCCCTGATAATTTGTTCATTTTTATTTTTCAGTACATTTTCTCTGTTGTTCAGATTGGGTAATTTCTAATGTTTTATCTTCAAGTTCATTCATTTTTCTTCTGCCCTCTCCATTCTGCTGTTCAGTATACTTATTAAATTTTTGACTATTATATTTTTTATTTTATTATTTATTTATTTATTAAATTTAATTAATTAATTAATTAATTTTAAAGATGGGGTTTTACCATGATGGCCAGGCTGGTTTTGAATTCCTGACCTCAGGTGATCCACCCACCTCGGCCTCCCAAAGTGCTAGGACTACAGGTGAGCCACTGCGCCCAGCAAATTTTGGCTATTGTATTTTGTTTAAAAATCTCCATCTGGTTCTTTATACCTTCTATTTCTTTGTTGAGAATTCTATTTTTTCACGTTTCAATTGCAAGCTGAATCACTTTAAAGATTGCTGCATTAAAATCCTTGTCAGGTAATTTCAACATCTTTTTGGTTTTAGCATCTATTGTCTTTTCTCATTTAAATTAGTTTTCCTGGTTCTTGGTAGGATGGATGATTTTCAATTGTATCCTGAACGTTTTAGTATTACGCTGAGACTCTAGATCTTATTTCAATTTGTCTTTGCAGGCCTCCTTTGGCTCCTTGCAGTGAGAGACGTGGGAGTACCACCTTGTTGCCATCAGGTGGGAGTATAAGTCCTGGTTCCCCACTAGGCTTCTGCGGAGATATCTTGGCTGGGAAGGGTAGAGGTGCCTCCTAAGTGCTTCCCACATAGCCACCATTGACACCATGAGGAGAGGGAACCTGTTACTGTTTGGGGTGGAGGAATGGAAGGGACACATCATTACTGCCCAATGGGAATAAAAATCTAGACTCCTGACTAGGCCTTCAC